CTTTGTATGACTATGGGAGTTCATCCCTTTTCATGGTAGAGATCATATTTGAGGATTACCATTTCCTAAATTGGCCGAGTTGGACATTTGTAGAATAATTTCTTAGTTAATTTAGCCGTAGTCATGCTTTATATGTTTAACCCTCCCATTTATTTATTTCTATGTCCTTGTGCACTTTGTTAATAAATTATGAGCATATGTCTTTGACGATGTGGCTTATTACATTGTTGTTATTATGGCACATGTCGACACGTTGGGCGGATTGGTTAGGTGTTGGCATGAGATTTTTTATCGTCCGATTATGATTGATATTGTTACTGTGTCAGGGTACGGAGCAATAAGGGTGAATATTATTATTGTGTCAGGGTACGACGCGATAGGAGTGGATATTGTTATTTTGTCATATGCAGTGTGATAAGGGTGGATATTGTTATTGTGTCGGGTGCAAAGCGATAAGGGTGGATATTATTATTGTATTGGGTGCGGAGTGATAAGGGTGGATATTGTTATTCTGGTGCGAAGCAATAAGGGTGGATATTGTTATTGTGTCGAGTGCAGAGCGATAAGGGTGGATGTTACTATTGTGCCGGGGTATGGATCGATAAGGGTGGATATTGTTATTGTGATAAAATGTGAAATACGAGGGTGACATTCTTGAAAATGCATATAAATCCTTTATGTTTGTCATGTATTTCTAAATGATTTTGTGTTGTATCTAACATTCTAATTTATGCCTATGTTATTATTTGATGATTTGGTTGTCAAGATGGATTTACCTATATGGAGTTGATATCTCATGTCTTGTCGAGTTATCGGTCGTGTATCAGATTGACATGATAAGGAAGTTGTCATCATCCATAGATATATTTGATTCTTGGATGAGTCTCTTTAACGGGTTATTTGGCAATTGATACGGAATCAGATCATATTGAGCACAGGTTTACAGTCATGTATGAGGATTGAACATACACATTATATGGTGCATACCTCTTCATGAGCGGGGTTGGTGCAAGTTGTATTTGTTGAAAATGTCGAATTGTTAGAATTTATTTATTACCCTATCCCAGTTGTGCACCTTTATCACTGATATTCTTTATTCTGTAATTGTCTTTTTGGAATATTTTCTCTATATTATACATGTTATTGAGATGCACATGTTCTCCTAAGTGAGTATCTTTTGACTTATAAACCTCGTCATTACTTCTCTGAGGTTAGCCAAGATACTTACTGAGTACATAGGGTCGGTTGTACTCATACTACACTTCTACACTTTACGTGCAGATTATGGAGATGAGTAGTTGTGGAAGACGAAGCCTTGCATTGGAGACGTACAAGCATACTAGATTCATGCTACCTTTTGTTCATGGTAATTTAGGATTTTATTTCTGTTTATGTAAACTTCAAACAAATGTAGTAAATATTCTTTATAACCGCATTGTAAATCTAATCTTAGTGGTTCATGACTTGTATTACCAGTTCTTGGGATAGTTGTATTGAATTCTTTCACAGTAATATTGATGATTTTATCATTATGATAGTAAGTTATACAATTTTACTTACCTAGCGGATTGGGTTAGGTGTCATCACGACTTGGTAGGATTTTGGGTCGTGACAGTTTTCAAAGAGGAGAGCATAAAGATGTAAAGTGTAATATAAATCGAGTTCATAAGCTTTTGGTGATTCAAACATTTGAGGTAATTCAAAACAAAAGGACTAGAAACTTGAACAAACTATACTTGGAGTTTATAAGGAGTTCATGGAATCCAATTCTATGGGAAGGGTTTAGCCAAACATACCTTAATCAAGCTTCCTTAGGAGTCCTACTATGTTCCACTACTTGTAATACTTCAATCTACATCACAAAAGTTCAACTAAACCAACATTAATGAGGGTTTCTATGCTTTTAAGTCTTTGAGGCATTATATCAAACACCTATAGGACATAGCCCTTTATCACCTTTAATAATGGTGTTTCTTCATCCCCAAATCGTCTTTGGGTAGTATGTGACCTTTAACTGCACATGCATGGTCATCCAAATTGCACCTACCCAATAATTACGTCAAACAACACCTTCTCCTTACTCTCCACTGTACCCAAACTCAAGATTGGGAGCTTGTGGCTTCTAATCACCATCCCATAAGCTCCAATATTCGATTCTCATCTGACATCTTCATTATTGAAGATTGCATGAGATCTTGGGATGGAATCTTACCTTGATAGTAGAAGACCTTGTAAATTGCATCTATGAACTCCAAGAATCGAGTTAAGGTCTTGATATGTAGAAGTGTTAGTGCTCCCCCTTATCTCTCTCTCAAAATAGATGAAAATCCCCTCCTAAAATGCCCTTCCAGCCTTATATTAAAAATATTGTCAGATAAAAAAATTCAAAAATGTCCCTAGAAACAGATTCGCAATCGCGAAAAGGAGTGCATATCGCTTCTGTGATCCGCCAAAAGGGACCGCGAAATGATCCTCTCAACTTTTGAATTGAACTGGCTAGATCTTTGGCAATTTTGCGGTTCCCACTTCTGTTATGTGATCGCACATTAGACCACAGATTCTCCTTCTAAAGATTTCCCAAGTGGCTGGACCATTTTCGCAACGGGTCTGCAATCCACATAACTGGTATGCAGTCTGCATAATCTACCGAAAAAGACCCACCCCCCCCCCCCCCCACAAGAAAAACTAGCACCATTTTGACCCATTGGCTAAATACTTTTGGAAAACTTTTTTCTCATGAACTCATTTTTCTCCAATTTTATTTTTTCCCTCATAAGATGAGGGTTCAGGGTTCAGGGAGGAAAAACATTTTAAAAACTCGTTTTCAACCTTTCTCACTCTACTCCTCCCCTCACCAACCCACCCACCCCCACCTTCCATCCAACCAACCCCCACCCCTACCCTCCACCCAACCCACAACATCCCCACCCAACCCTACCCCACCCTACCCCCATCCCCTGTTCCCCTCCTACCCATTCGTCTCCCATATTGTTTGCCGAAATTAGATATTTACCAAAAATTATTTTCTACTCACTAACCAAACACTAAAAAATATTTTTCGAAAATAGTTTCTACTTACTAATCAAACATTAGAATATAAGTAATAAAACCACTCATTTTCTAGATGGGCATTTGGACATAAAAATTGTGAAATTTTGAAAAAAAGTAAAAGAATATATTCAAGTTGAAAATGATATTTGAAAATTAGAGTTGTGTTTGGACATGAATACAATTTGAAGCTATTTTTGAATTTTTGTGAGTGGTTTGAAGCGAAAATTTTGAAAAGTAGTTTTTTGGAGTTTTATAAATTTTGAAATTCAACTTTAAGTGAAATTTGAAATTTCATGGCCAAACACTGATTCTGAGAAAAGGTGAAAAAAATTTCGAAAAAAAGATAAATTTTCACAAAACAACTATTGTTTAGTGGTTATTAAGTAGTTGTAGCCACCATTTACTATATTACTTCCTATAGTTATGTTTTCAGGTTTTTTAGAGTGTATTCGATGTATTTAAGCTACTGTATTCATGAACACAGTATCATTTCTCGGCGTGAAACAGGGGATTACAGCTAGACAGATTATTGTATTCGACTGTATTCACGACGTGAAATAGGGGATTACAGCTAGACAGACTATTGTATTCGACTGTATTTACGATATGTATTTGTGAATACAGTAACGTAATTACGCAATTCATGGTCTATTCAGCTATTTTTAAACGGAAAGTGAATCAATTAACATAATATACTCCTAATATAACTCAAACTCAATTCTAACACACAAAATTTGTATTTCCACTTATAAAAAAGATTCTCAATCTAAAAACACCCCAAAAATATAGCAATCTTCAGAGAAATTACATAATTACATTGAATACAGTTAAATACATAAAAATACATTGAATACATGAAGTATAGCAGGTCATCTATAGTGCAAAAACGTATGAATACATACTGCAGATACATTTGAATACATAAACTATATATTTAAAAAAAACATATTAATACATTCATGAAATATAGCGAGACAGCGAATACAATGAAATACATGGAATACAACGGGATACATTGAAATACAATGGAAAAAAAGACGATGAATACAATAAAATACATAGAATACAACGAGATACATTGAAATACAACGAAAAAAAGGTACAGACTCTTCAAGTTGCTCAGCCCCAAACTCCGTCGTCTTTGTTCAAGAACAACCCTAATGTCGTCTCGTCAAGAGGGTCGCGATTCTGACTCGAAAATCTCAAAATTTGGTGCAAAAACGAAAGAAATTCCTTATTTTCAATAGTAGATTGTCTTCTTTTGTTAGTAATTGCGAATTTGGTAGATGAAGAAAAGCAGCAATGGAGGTGGCGAGAGGCAAGAGTTGCAGTGGCTATGTCCAAATTTCATGGCAAAGTACGGCCATCAGAATGGGGTGGATCTTTCTCTCTAGGGCTTGATTTCGACATTGATTCAGAGCCCCATCCCACTGACAATGAAAATTTCGCGAGACAATGGAGATGAATCTCCGTCGCCGGCTCCGACGAGCATAAATTAAAAAAAACAATATGTCAACGCGTCCTTCTGCCAAGCTGGTATCCGAAGTAGGCCATGAGATCTGATTCGTTAAAACAAGCCATAATATATTTAGAAACGAGAGAAAGAGGATTTATGGATTTATGGCTTGAATAGAAACAATTTGATTGTCCTTTTGTCAACGCGTCCGTCTCAAGACTACTACAGACTACTTATCTTCCTCAGTAGGCCATGAGATCTGATTCGTTAAAACAAGATAAATTTTTATGGAGAAAGACTGGAGTTGAGAGAGAGAGGGCGGAGAAAAATCTGAAAGAATAAGAGAGAAAAATAATACAAAGGTATTTTATGGCTTAAGGATAGGAGGTGACCATAAATAGATATTTGACTATAAAAATTAAAAGGTAGTTATGAAATATAATTTTTTTAAATGGTATTTATTTAAAATAAATAAGGTATTCCATCATTTTTTATGGCCAAACGGGCCGCAGGAAAACATTTTGCAAGGGCGAAACACACCCTTACTTGATTGGGTAATATTGACGGACGGAAATGGGGAAAATCGTATTCAGGTCTTCCTAATTCTTAGTTCGCCGTTATTATAGAGTTGCTTTAATTGGTGAAATGACACTTTGAATCTCCTTCAGCAAATGGCTTCATTGACCTTTTTCAAATTGATTCCAGAACGCAACCAAACATTCACAGCTAATCCTCACTTAAGTATAGGCTTCAAGAAAATCAACCCATTAATCCATTTCTCCTCCATCCACTTTCCTCATTTCTTCCCCAAAATCTCTCTTCACAACCATAACTCACATTTCCAACTTTGCTTCTCGCAACGTTCACATGCAGCTCACGACTTCTTCGACAACACCCATTCTTTTGTGACAAAGGTTGTCATTCTTTTAACGTTTTCATTTGCACTTCTTTCCCTTCGCATCGTTTCAACAATTCTTGTTCCTCAGTTTCCTCAAAGATGGACCCGACTCATTGCTTTCTCTAAACGAGCTGAGTTAGAGGTGATGAGTAGTTGTCCTCAGCATTTGATAGAAGCTGTGGTTGCCTACGAGGACAGACGCTTCTTTCACCATTTTGGGGTCGATCCCGTTGGCGTTGCTCGTGCTGTTTTGTCGCTCTCGTCTCTTGGTGGTGGCAGCACAATTACCCAACAGGTACTCAAGTACGCGGATAGGTTGTTTGTTGTTATGCCTCAACGAATCCTTTAAATAACTTTGTGTACTTTTCGGGTTTAAACAACCGGGCCAAGATAGCTGGGCCACAGATCAGCAGGCTCAAAGCCCACACATGAATCACTTTTGGGCGTTGACTTATGTCATTTCTTTAACGCCAAAAATATAACTGACTAACTGAGTGTCCCATTTTTTAAAACCTTAGCAAATTATGACCTCCCCTTCATAAGCATATAAGTTTTAAGTTTTAACCCAGGTTCACTGAGAAGTTGTAGAAGAAGTTTTTAACCAATTCGGAGGGTTTCACTTTCACCTATGATCTAAATCACTCAAGTTCACTGGGAACTTTAGGCCCAATGCCGGAAAACTATAAGAAATGTATGACCAAATTAGACCAAGTGGTAACGTATATTTCCCACTCTTCTGATTGTGTAGCGTACAGGTTATATTTGCAAAATATTTTAAAACAGTGACAAAGTATAAACAGTGGCCCCAAAAGAAGCTATTTGAGCACTTCAGCCTCTGCTTTCTACTTTACTTATTTTATATTGGGATTATGGCTAGGATAGTTAAAGCTGGAAAATTAATTTAGCTGTGTAACTTTCCTTTCTTTCTTTTTTAAATTTACTTTTATCATGTGGATGACTCTCTCATTTTGGATTAGATATTTTAGTGGGGTGTTTTTAATGCTTGACATGCTAAATTGTAGAAGTAGGATGATCTCTGTGTATGGTAGGATATTTTAGACAAGAAATCGGCTGTCAGTGGGAAAGGTGTATGATGGGTGTCATTAAAGACTTAATTTAGGTAACAGTTGCTGTCAACTCAACTATCTCCAGTAAAATAAAGATTGAACCATAACTCCATTGCTATTACAAGTGGTCTTCGGTAAGAAGAATTACATGTTGCACTTTGTCTTCTTTCTTTATAGTTCTAGGAAAACCACTACTCTTTTTAATTAATTAAATAATGGGTAGTGTCACCTCAACTGAATATAGAATTCAAAGTAAATGATGCCTTTTGTTTGAATAATGGCTTTAGAAAATATTTTATGAGGTCATGGTTCATGAATGTTCAATATACTTACTATTTATAACCATATATTCAGGCGATCATGCCAGATAGACGCTGCAATGTTATATTTTACATCCTCAGTTGTTGCTATCACCTAATGTGACACATATCTCAACTTGGTCACCAATCATTATCAAGCTGGTGTAAACAGAGTTAATTCAGTAGTCAACTTTAAACAATAGAGGGAAGTATGAAAAAGCAAATGCATAAAGTAATAGTAGACCAATTCCAGCCGCATCTATACAATTTCCAGCCAAGCTGTTTTTGTTCTTTCTTTCATCATTACTCTATATGGAGTCCATCTTATTCTTTCTCATTGTATCTTTGTCCATTAGTCCTGTCTTTGGATTTACCTTGACAGAATTTGTCTATCCCAACTTTACTGCTTCCAATCTCCAATTTATTGATAGCACTGGAAGTTTCTTGTTTTCTCGCAATGGAACGTTCAAAGCTGCTATCTTCAATCCCGGTTCTGAACAAGTTAATTTTTATTTGTGTGTTATCCATGTGGAATCCAATACCATTATCTGGTCAGCAAATGGTGATTCACCTGTTTCAAATTCAGGAGTTATGAGGTTGACTAAGAATGGTATCAACATTACTGAAAAAGATGGCAGCTTTAAATGGTCAACTCCACCAGCAAAGTCAGCAGTATACGCGATGCAGCTAACTGAGGCTGGAAATCTCCTTCTTCTTGATCAGTTTAACGGGACACTTTGGGAAAGCTTTAATCATCCGACAGATACAATTGTTATTGGACAGAAGTTGCCTGTTGGCATGATGCTTTCTAGTGCAATGTCAGGTGATGGCTTGTCAAAGGGTCATTACAGGCTTTCTTTGACTGCTTCTGATGCTATTTTACAGTGGCAAGGTCTGACATACTGGAAGTTGTCCATGGAGACCAAATCTTATACTAATTCAAATAATGAAGTGGAATACATGGCTGTCAATCAGACAGGTCTGTATCTTTTTGGTCAAAATGGTTCTGTAGTTGTGATAATGGTGAACTTGTTAAAATCCACTTTTCATTTTGCCAAGTTGGATGATTCAGGCCAGTTTATCATTAGTAGTTTTGTTGGCGCTGACATTAAACAGGATTTTGTTGCGCCAGTAGATGGGTGTCGAGTACCTTATGTTTGTGGAGGGCTTGGTATATGCACCTCCGATGTGTTATCAGATAATCCTATATGTTCCTGTCCTGCTAATTTCAATCTTAGATCACATAATTCAACCAGCTGTGTGCCTACTGACAGTTCTTATTCTTTGCCAGTTTCTTGCAATTCCACCAACTATAGCAGTCCATCAAATTCTTCCTCTGCGTCATACATAAGACTTGGCTTCGGTATGGACTACTTCAGTACTGATTTTACCATGCCCTTCAGGTATGGGGTAAATCTATCCATGTGTCAAAATCTCTGCTCAGTAGACTGTTCATGCTTGGGGATATTCTATGCAAACTCATCTGGTTCTTGTTACAAACTTGAAGAAGAATTAGGGTCAATTATGGCAAGGACAAGTAATAATAATCTGTTGGGATTTGTTAAGATCTTGGTTGGAGCTTCAACAACCTTTGGGGATAATAATAATTTTGATCAGAGAACTGTAAGCTTTCCTTTAGTTGCAACAGTGCTCTTACCTTTCACTGGAGTCTTCCTCCTGATGGCACTGGGTTTCATATTGTGGAGAAGATCACGACCCCAACAATTCGGGAAGATAAAATCAAAAATAAGCCGACCTAATTCTCCTTCTTCAGAGGACCTAGATGCCTTCTCCATCCCAGGATTACCTGTAAGGTTCGAGTACAAAGAGCTTGAGGCTGCTACTGATAATTTCAAGATTCAGATTGGGGCAGGAGGCTTTGGTGCTGTATATAAGGGTGTGCTCCCTGACAAAACTCTTGTTGCAGTAAAAAAGATAATAAATTTGGGCATTCAAGGACAGAGAGATTTTTGTACTGAGATTGCAATAATTGGTAGTATTCACCATATAAACTTGGTCAAGTTGAAAGGTTTCTGTGCTCAAGAGAGACAACGCCTATTGGTTTATGAATATATGAACCGTGGGTCGCTTGATCGCACTCTTTTTGGTAATGGACCTGTCCTGGAATGGCAAGAACGGGTTGAGATAGCTCTTGGTTCTGCCCGCGGACTTGCATACTTGCATAGTGGCTGTGAACAAAAGATCGTCCACTGTGATGTAAAGCCAGAGAACATTCTCTTGCATGATAACTTTCAGGCAAAAATATCTGATTTTGGCCTCTCCAAGCTTCTGAATCGTGAACAGTCCAGTCTATTCACAACAATGAGGGGGACTCGTGGCTACCTTGCTCCTGAATGGCTCACAAGTTCTGCAATCTCAGAAAAAACTGATGTTTACAGCTTTGGAATGGTACTCCTTGAAATTGTAAGTGGAAGGAAAAACTGTTCTAAAAGAACACAAAGTCACAGCCTTGATGATACTGCCACTGGAGATCACTCATCATCTTCATCTGCACAGGGACTTGTGTATTTCCCTTTATTTGCATTAGAGATGCACGAGCAAGGAAGGCACCTTGAACTTGCCGACCCAAAACTTGAAGGGCGGGTCAGTAGTGGAGATATCGAGAAGTTCGTGCGGGTTGCATTGTGCTGTGTCCATGAGGAGCCAGCTCTCAGGCCAACTATGGTTAGTGTGGTAGGCATGTTGGAAGGCGAGATACCACCAACTGAGCCAAGAATGGAATCTCTTAACTTTTTACGTTTCTACGGGCGACGTTTTGCTGAGGCATCAACCATGGAAGAAGCTGGTGGCCAGATTGATGTCATGTTATATCCGCAAGCAAATACTTCTCATACAACCTCTAGGAGCATCTCTAATGCTTGCTTCTCTTATATTTCCTCCCAACAGATCTCGGGTCCAAGATAGAGTCTAGCTGGTGCTACTTGATTTTATAGAAGTGGAGTGCAGATAATCTGTAAATTGTGTCCAAATGTATATTAGGTTACTCTTGAAGAAACATGAATATTGAATTTTTACCCAAAAGGGAATGCATTCCATTCTTAACTCTTGGTTCAAGCTTGTTCAGATACAGCAAATGTGTTTGATGTCTGTGTCTGGTAAATGGCACAAGGCAGTATCTAATCTCTATATCGGATCAGATATTAGGTTTTGTTCCTTCCACCCAAAAGGGGCAAAAGAAAACGAAACAAACTAGAAGTAAAATAATACTGCTTATCCTAAAAGCAAAGATGTTTTAGTGGCAGAACTATTCAAAACGACATGGAGGATGCTATGTCTGGGCTATGTTAAGTACTCAAAAATAAGAATAACTTGGTTTTGATTGAGGTATGTTAGACTTGCAGAGTATGTTAGGTCAAAAAGAAGCAACAGGAGATTTCATTGTGGAACATCTACAACTTGACAGTCGTTCGAATGAGACTTCGAATTCTATATCAGCTTCGAGGGTCTTCAATAGTAGTCTTTTATTTTTAGTAGTGATCTAGAGCAAGGTTGGATGAGCATCACGTTCATGATATTCTGATTTCTTCATTGGAAAATAGCTAGCACCTTTTCATGCATACCTCATTCAACGTAGAAATGTATGTTTCATCCGGACACCTCCACTATGACCATCCCTTTTCCCTTACACCCACCCTCCAACCCCAGTAGAAAGGAAAAAGATCTTGCTTTATGTTGAACTATTTGTTATACTTCATTTATACGTCGAAAATACCTGGCGATTAGAAGAAACCATTAATTTCATCTCTTAACTAAATGAGGACAAAATGGCGATTAGTGCTGCTAGCAGCTTCCCCTAGATTTGTTGCAAAAAGAGCACTTCTCTTTTTCTTTCTCATTAAACACAAAGTGTACTATCCTTCTGGACTGGTCCTATCTGAATCTCATCTGTTGCACTTGTAGGAAGTCCAACTTTACCAGCCAAAGGAATCAACTTTACAGCATCCGTGATTTAACATGATTGCTTATGCTCACTAATATGTGACAACACCTTGCTGAAATTTCAACCTAAAGATCTGGCCAACTATAATGCCTTTTTAAGGTTCAGGCGGCTGCCAGCTTTTCCTTTTCTACTTCAGCCTTTATTATTAAGTCAAGATTCCGAGTTTAAGTTCAGTTTGTCCAGATCACCTTTGCACCATTACTAGTTTCCTTTATGTGGCAATTACCTCTGTCTTGTCTACCCACTTGAATTCCTCTTTTTTTTTTTTTTTCTTTCTTCTATTTTTTCTACTTGCTGTTTTCAACTTCTTGAAATGCCTCCGTTACTAAAATATACTAAACATTAGCAATTCCCATTTCTACTCGTTTTCTTCTCCAAACTATAATTTCCTTTTTGGTCTTAGAACAGGCTAAAACGTGGTATTAAGCACCAGTCTGATGAGTGCATCCTGGAGAACATATTGAAAGTTTCACTATGGCATAAAATTTATTTTTTGTTTGCCTCTCACATCATTATGCCTGATATTTTAAATATATATTGATAATCAATGTTAAGTTTCTGCTTCTCCACTTAGAAAATGATGTTGTCTACCACAGTAAAATGTTCGTAATTCTCATTATTTACCTGCTATTTAGTTCTATTTATTGGCAAGGCAAGGGTGTGACTTTTTGTGTGTGCTATTAGACTCTTTTTCAAATAAGTCGTGTATTTCTGTTTATTCATTGTAAACTTCTTACCTGTGGCAGCTTGTCAAAAACTCATTCTTGAAGAATGAACGCACATTCTTGAGGAAAATTGTTGAGATGATTCTGGCTTTAGCACTAGAGGGAACAATCTCAAAAATGGAAATCTTGAGTGCTTATTTGTGTAAGGTCAAGTACATCTTCAATCGTTGCTATCTCAACTTCATTCATAAATTACTTCAAGTACTGGAAAATAAATGCATTTTTCTTTTTTTCTTTCTTCAGATTTGTTTATTTTTGCTTAATTCGTTTACGGTCCGGTTGTTGCTTCGGATGAGATAAAACTGAGGAATGCAAAATGACCTTTGTTGGTAAATACATCGACTAAATGATATTCCAACGATATTATCAAATGGATAAAAATATCATGTTTGTCCCTCCATGACATGTCCTGTAAGCTATTTTGTTTTTCCTTATTGTTCGTGAAAATTTAACAGAGCCTGTGACAAACCAGATATATTGGGGACATGGCATTTATGGTATTCAATCTGCGTCCAAATTTTATTTTGGGAAGCATATATCTCTTCTTAGCTTGGGGGAATGTGCTATGCTTGCAGCAATGATACCAGCCCCAGAACTCCGGTCGCCGTTCAGGGACTCTAGCAGGTTTTGTAGCTCAGTGAACTTGTTACTTACTTTTCCTTGGCGTGACATAGCTTCTTCTGGTGTTTTTATGGGGTACTTCTGCATTTTATTTCTTGTCTGAAAATATAAAACCTTGCTGTGATATCCTCAGAGGAAAGACCTTCCAAGCTAGAGTGCTGAAAAGGATGGTGGAATTTGGATTTCTTGATGTCGACATGGCAGGCATTGCAGTAAAACAACCTCTCATACTGAATTCTGGAAGCCCAGATCATTCAGATGGGTTGTTGGTTATATCGGCTTCCTCTCAAGTGGTAAATACAGTTTTTTTTAATCCCAGTCTCATTTCATTTCTGATCTGAAATTTTGAGCCGGTGTGTTTTCCCTTTCCAAAACTCAATGAGAAGAAGCAGCTTTGCCAAATCCATATAACATCAAAGTTATTCAGTTCCATTGACCTTCGTTTCTCAAAACAAGATCATTTTCCAGGTTACATCCATTTATTGAGTTTGTTTTCATGATCATTTTTACTCCATTAGGCACCCTGAGAAAAGCATTTAAACATTTAAGCTTATCAAATTGGCCCAGGAATTAATACTCACGTCTAGTGTTGACAACTCCAAAGGCATGTTCTTCAAGCAAGTCTGCTGGTTGATTGAGCTAGCTTCTGATCTTCTTTGTCTTGTTTCTGGTGAATTTATCATATAGCATTCAGGTATGAACACAACGTGCGACAGAGGTTTATTCTCAACCATCAAGAGAATATGGGACTGGGAAACAGAAAGCAAGATATGGGAAGTGAAAGAGGACATGGAGAGATGGGCAACTGGTGTAAAACGATTGGGAAGCATCAATGGTTCCCAAGTCCAATTCAGAAGAAGCTTCTTTTCTTGATCAGACGTAAGAGATCTCTTCCAACATTCTATATGAATTGTAGAAATGGTTGATGAGTTTCAGATTTGATTATCTCATGCTAGTTGGTTAAAGTACTTGTGTGTGGCAGTGAGTTTTCATAGATGCATTAGAAAGAAACAAAACAAAGTTAACTGTTAGTTTTGGTGGTCAAGATATAAAAGCACTTGATTACCAAAACATGTAAAACTGAATGTTTTGGCCATAAAGTTTGTTTGTAGTAAGTGCTTTCGGGTATTTATGAAACACTGTAAAAGTACTTCCAAATGCCCTAAGTACTCTCTGCAAAGCGATTTGCTTATTGAATGAAATAGGGGCTTTGTAGAATTGATAATAACGAGTCTTACCACAAATGTGATGGCAGGTGCAAAGCCAGCAAAAGGGGATCATATGAATTGGTGCAATGACACTACCCATAAAGATAATTTGAAGGCTTCGGAAGGAATTCCGAAATGGTCCTAGAAGAATTAAGAGTTAGGCTTTTTGACAGCGCCAGAGATCCCAACGGAGGGTCTTTGAATATAAGTTCCTATGTGAAAATGTTCTTTAACTTGTGAAACATTGAAGTACATACTTTAAATGACTAATGTCTTCGGACAAATGCGTTGGCATTCATTGCTTTGCTAAGAGCTTCCCCCACCCTTAGCACTAAACCTTTCCAAGCCTTGCCTCGCCCCATTGCCATGCCCAGTTAGTTGACTATTATAGGCCTTTCATAAATGGGCATGATCTTGTTAGATCTCAAACCAATCTATTGAAGAAGGATAGCTCTCAGTGGAGCCAACCAAGCTTTTGAATCTCTGAAGCTGTTGTAACCACAGTGTTGGCCCTCAGGATGCTTCTGGAAAATAGAAAGGAGATTGGTGCAGTCTTCATCCAAAAAGGAGATGTCATTGCCTGGCCCTTTCTTATGAGAAGGAAGCCTTATTAGAAAAGGCTGCTACCTATCGTTGCACATGCGCAAAGCTGGAAAATAGGAAGACACTCTGTCATAAAGACTAACACAACCGCCTAAAATTCAAACATCAACGCGGACTATGCAATGATGACCATTAAGACCGGCTTTCACTTTGCAGTTAAGACTGTAAAATATCATCCTTTCATCATTAGATGCTTCTTTTCAGCTGACATAAAAGCAGTTGAGGTTTCTTAGATTTGCCAATGGGATTTGTAGCACCAAGCATTTGATGAAGGAGAGACATGTTATTTTTAGGTTGATCACTACGCACAAGCATTTAGCAATCAAGAATTTGTTGTATGCCTGTATCTACCTATTCAAGGTTGAAGGTCTAACATCCCTTGGCATGAGTTGTATTACAATGTTTCAAATTGGTCAAACAAATAGCCGAGAATAAGCAACTTAATTTTTCGCATTGAGTGTCATTTAACTTATAGGTTAGTTATGCGGAGATTCTAATGTATGAATTAATATACAGTAAGCAATATTATAAGGATTGTTTGAACCGCGAATAATAATGTAGGAATCGTCAATGTACATGAATTGTGATGGTGCAACAATTGTCAATTTTAAATGAATCACCATATTACAATGATTATTCTGACGTTAGACACATGGTGATGTCTTCGGAACTACTGGTTCTCTAACATCAAAAATGCTTTGATCCCATTACAAAAGAACGTAACCACATGGTTACTTGATTTATAAAACCAGGTTTTTCTGATCCAATAAATAACCTGAGTCTAGTAATTTTTTTCTGTAAATGCTCTTATTCATGTATTTCTCATATACTTATATATCATATATTCTTTCTTGCATAAAATAATATATATATATATATATATTCCCATAAAAATTATCTTGATTATTAATGGAGCTAACTAAGTTTTGTGATGCAAATCAAATATCGCACTAGTTACCAAAAATTAATATTGTGTGTTATAAATAGAATTGTATTTATGGTGAATGTCTATATTTAGAGAGATTCTAGGGTTTATTACTTGGTGGCTAAGTCACCATCTCCCTATAAATAGAGGGTTCTATTCCATTGTAATTCATCCCAAATCAATAAGAATTCTCTCTCCCTACTTTTCTCTGCAACATTCTTCTTCTTCTATTATTGTTTCATAACACGTTATCAGCACGAGACTCTAACCAATTGAGTAAAAACTTTGAGATTGAGCATAATGATTGTCAATTGTTCCATGAACTTCCTTTGTGATTAAATTCTGGATTTAAGGTAAGTATTTTACCGTATTTTTCTCTTTTATTCTATACTTTGATTTTAAATACAAGCAAAGACAACAAAATTTGATTATAACTCTAATGGAATTTGTAAGAAATTATAACCACCTGAAGTGGTAAAATTTCTATGCCTTGCCATGATCAAATTCATGTATGATTGTGGGCAAAGAATTGAAAACCCGTCCCATTGAATTTGGTCCATTCTCATTCCCTTAAGAGAATGTGATAGCAGTATGTGATAAGTCTGAAAGAAGACAAAATTATTAACCGTGAAGGTATCAATGGATGTAGACGTGGTATTAGACGAAATTATAATCGTCATCATTGTGATAATGTGAATAATAAGGATTCTCAAAATAATCCTTCACTCTGTGAAAGTAATATTTGTCATCGATTTGACATGATATTTTATAAAGCACATATAGATGATTATGGTCCATTCATGATGTGAATGTGAAAACATCTGATTTATGAATACATATTTATTCTTGAAAGAATATGAATGTGCTAGTGGTAGTGAATATACCACACTCACCTCTAAAAGGAGGTTTGAGATGATATAAGAAAACAATATCATTATTATCGCATGAATGGTCATTGGTCACGTACCTATTGTACGCCAAAATATTTTGGTAATGTGATTATTAAAGAATAACGGTAATGCAAGAAACAGATCTTGCATATAATTTTGACCATAACCATAATGGTATAACTTTCTCTTTAAAAGAGATATTCACCATATGGGTGTTGATGAATATGTGGTACTACAAAATTAATTGAGAACTCTGCAAGAGCCAATTATACTATTTTGGAGAAACACAATTAATTACCAATAAGGTATTGTGTCGTAGTAAATCTCAAAGAAACTTATTCAGTTTCCAAAGTATACGCGAAAGCGGTTGATTATATTGTGACTATAAATAAAGAAAAAATTTAATATCTTCTATTACTACAACTTGTAGCGGGGTAATATGTATGTGAAAAGCTACCCGCTTTATTCTCCAATTTGTTCTACATAAACAAAAGAATACCACAATGAAGTGGATATTTATTGATATAAAAACCCATATCATAATAAACTTGGAGTTTATTCATAATTGCACACATCATGGTGTAAATCTGAAGTTTATCAATATTGATAATTTATTCAGTTGGCATAATTGGTTTACCCATATCAATTTAAGTATGATGTGCAAAAATAAAAGAGAATTCACATGGGTAAATATTAAAGAACTAGAAAGTTCTTTACGAATTCTCTTATATTGCTTGTTCTCATTAATTAATAGACCAACTAAAATTGGGATTGAATCCCATGAATGCTGGAAATATCAAAGGTGAATATGGGCCCATTCACCTGCCATGTATACCACATAAGATGCATCTATGAGATGGTTACATGTGCGATTATTAATAACCCGCAACATGGTGTTTTGCGAGGTAACTTGCTCAATAATTTAATTTCGAGCATAATTTCCAGATTTTCTATTCAAGAAGTTCATCTTGATAAGTTGGTTTACATCACAGTTGGTTTAGCAAAATGATTTATTGAGTGCCTCCACTTAATAGCTAAACAATTGCTTATGAGAACAAAGTTATCTATATCAGTTTGATATACGTTATATACGAAAGTATATTATTTTCTCCCCTCACAAGTGGTTCAGGGTCAGGAACCAAATAATTCCATCTTATTATTATTGATGTGCGGTGTATATTTTGATTAACACCATAACGCACAAAGATGGGTTCTCAAAGTTGAGGAAACAAGTTAGTTTTTCTAACATGAGGGGGAGACATGATAAACAGTTGAGAAAAAGTTACGTGGAATGAATTATCATTTGTACATCTAGATCCTCGAATAAAATAATATGAACTTGAAGTTCATAAAAGGATAATTCATGTGCAATTTATTGCAAAGCATGCCAGACGCATTTGCTGACCCAAAGAAAGTAACTATATTCTCATTGCAAATGCTCCTATTAGAATAAGTCCTAGAAGGACAAAGTCTATAGTACGCTTAAAGCATATAGACAAATCGGTTTCAAATAAACTTCTTGATAAAGAAGATGAGCAAATGATCAAAATGATCATAATAAAGGAGGCAAGTGATCTAGAAGATCACATGACATAACACTTCATAAAATCTCAAGAGAGATTCAGGTACCTGAAAATATGAATGAAGAGATCTCTATGTTATGTCTTTATGAAAAAATATTGAAACTGATATAAAATGTTTGTCGACGACATCTATGATAGCGCTAAATATATATATATATATATATATATATATATATGAGGATCTTAAGTCTGAAGAAACAATTCGAATAGAATTGGTTTCATATGAAAGACATGTAGTTTTGAACATGTAGTTCAAACACTTGAAAGTATAAAGTCAATGGTATGTGCAATCAGTTTTCGATATCTTATATGTGTAGCATGACATGAAAACTTGATATGCATCTAAAGTCCATTATATGGCTTATATGACTTAAAAATCCTTGAAGGATTTAAATTGCTTAAAGCATATAGAATTCATGGTCATGAAGTACTATATCCTCAGTGCAATTTGTGTACAAATGTATCTTGCTATAACTATATGCATGATAATATGATAGCAAGAGTTTTCACCTCTATGTGAAGATATTGAAATGATGATTCCAACAAGATCATATGAAGACAATACATCTATCAGGGATGATGATTTCAAGGTGAAACAAATTCATTGAAGTTAATATGGCTGATATTGTTTATCAAATATCCACCAACGATCTCTGGAAGATGGTACACAAGATTGGAATGCAAATGCTTAAAGATGTGAATTGATGCTCTCATCAGGGGGAGTTAATACGCGTTGTACTCTTTTTCCCTTACAAGGTTTTGTCCCACTGGGTTTTCCTTGCAAGGTTTTTAACGAGGCAACCAAAAGGCGTATTGTAGATATGTGTACTCTTTTTCCTTCTCTAGAGTTTTTCTCCCACTAGGTTTTATTTTAGTTAAGGTTTTAACGAGGCACATTATCTGTTGAATAGACATTCAAGGGGGAGTGTTATAAATAGAATTGTATTTATGGTAAATGTCTATATTTAGAGAGATTCTTGGGTTTATTACTTGGTGGCTAAGTCACCATCTCCCTATAAATAGAGGGTTCTATTCCATTGTAATTCATCCCAAATCAATAAGAATTCTCTCTCCCTACTTTTCTCTGCAATATTCTTCTTCTTCTTTTATTGTTTCATAACATTGTGAATAATTTTCATAATGCAACCAACCAAACAACCTTAATCTATCTATATCTATACTATATTAAAAGCACGAAGGCCCTTAGCGAAATGTCGTTCGCCTTTTTTACCCTTTAAAAATAGAGTTTATATTGGACAAAATTGTAATTTAAGTTACTTTCCTATTATTTAGAATTTTAAAATTAATTCTCATTAATATACTT